TTGGGGGTTTTTTGGTTAAATTTGGTGATTTTTGGGTGGATTTTGGGCTTTGGGGTTGGATTTTGTCGATTTTTGGGTGGATTTTGGGGTTTTTTGGGTGGATTTGGGGTTTTTTTCGTTGACTTTTCTGGTTTCTTGGGTGGATTTTGTTGATTTTTGGGTGGATTTGGGTTTTTTTGGTTGAATTTTCTGATTTTTTGGGTGGATTTCGGTGTTTTTTGGATGAATTTTGTTATTTTTTGGGTGGATTTTGGGGTTTTTGGGTGTATTTTGGGTGATTTTTGGGTGGATTTCGGTGCTTTGGGGGTTGAATTTTGGGTTTTTTGGGTGGATTTTGGGGGGTTTTGGTTGAATTTTCTCTTTTTCGGGTGTATTTTGTTGATTTTTGGGTTGATTTTTGGGTGGATTTGGGGTTTTTGGGTGGATTTTGTTATTTTTTAGGTGTATTTTGAGTTTTTTCGGGTGGATTTCGATGTTTTTTGGGTGGATTTTGGGGGTTTTTGGTTGAATTTTCTCTTTTTTGGGTGGATTTTGTTGATTTTTGGGTGGATTTTCTGGTTTTTTGGGTGGATTTTGGTGTTTTTGGGTGGATTTTGTTGATTTTGGTTGATTTTTGGGTGGATTTTGGGTGCATTTCGGGCGGATTTGGGGCTCCCTCCCCTCTCCCCGCAGGTTCCGGAGCGGCCGCGGGCGGAACGTTCTGGAACGATCCCGAAATTCCCGGAGCTCGCCTGGGCCCCCCTGTGGACCCAAAACCCCCGAGTTTCGCCCCAAAATTTGGGATTTTCCTGAGGGAAAAACCCAAAAATTGGGGAAAAAACCCAAAAATTCGTGAAAAAACCCCAAAAATGGGGAAAAAAACCCAAAAATGGGGAAAAAAACCCCCAAATCGGTCAAAAATCGGCTCCCAACCCCCCTGCCCCGCCCCTCATTAAGCGGGGGCGTTAATTAACCTCATTAATGGCATTAATAATAAACAGGACGCTGGTGACGTCATTGGCTCCGCCCGCTCTGTGCTAATTAGCGTTGATCACGTGGTTAATTAAAGGAAACCGAGGCGGGAGGGGGCGGGGAATCGCTAATGAGCCTCGCTGTTGGTAATTAACCCGCTAATAATTAATAATTCCCGTCAAAAACGCGCCACTTCCGGGTTGCCACGGCAACGGGGGCGGGGCTTAGTGCGGAAGCGCCGTGGGCTTGGGAAACGCCGCTGATTGGCTGCGGCGTTGCTAGGTGCGCTCTGATTGGCTGCGGCGTTGCTAGGCGGGCTCTGATTGGCTGCGGCGTTGCTAGGCGGGCTCTGATTGGGCGCGGCGTTGCTAGGCGCGGTCTGATTGGAGGACGCGCTGCGTTGCTTCCGCTTCCGGCACCACGTGACCCGCGGCGCTCTTAAAGGGGCCGCGCCGCGCTCGGGGTTTTATTTTTGGGGGGATTTTGGGGGATTTTGGGTTTTTTTGGGTTTTTTTGGGGGATTTTGGGGGGTCCCGCGCCATGGCGGGGGCGCGGGCGGAGGAGAACGTGTTCCTGTTCGTGCCCAACCTGATCGGTGAGCGCCGAACTGGGACGGACTGGGACAAACTGGGAGCGACTGGGGGGGGGTTAAAGGGGGGGGACTGGGTTATACTGGGAGGGACTGGGAGGGGACTGGGATGGACTGGGAGGGGATTGGGATGAACTGGGTTAAACTGGGAGGGGTTTGGGGGGGACTGGGACAAACTGGGAGGGAACTGGGAGGGAACTGGGTTAAACTGGGAGGGGTTTGGGGGTTACTGGGAGGGACTGGGAGGGGTTTGGGAGGGAACTGGGTTATACTGGGATGGACTGGGAGGGGATTGGGTTGAACTGGGATGAACTGGGAGCCACTGGGAGGGGACTGGGGTGGACTGGGAGGGGTTTGGGAGGGAACTGGGATGAACTGGTTTATACTGGGAGGGGTTTGAGGGGGACTGGGAGGGGTTTGGGGCTTACTGGGAGGGACTGGTTTATACTGGGAGGGGTTTGTGGCGCTCCGGGCGGGGCTGTACTGGGAGTGCTGCTGGTTCAGACTGGTTTGTACTGGTTTGTACTGGTTTGTACTGGTTTGTACTGGTTTAAACCCGCCCATACTGGTTTATACTGGTCCAAACCGGTCCTTACTGGTCCATACTGGTTCATACTGGTTTATACTGGTCAGCCAGTGAATCTCCATCACCCAGGGACCCATTTTGGGGACATTTGGGGACATTTTGGTGCCCAAAACTGGAGTTATACTGGTTTTTACTGGTTTATACTGGTTTTTACTGGTTTAAATTGGTTTTTACTGGTTTTTACTGGTTTATACTGGTTTATACTGGTCACTGTTCCCGATCTCCATCACCCAGGGACCCATTCTGGGGACATTTTGGTGCCCAAAATTGGCATTATACCGGTTTATACTGGTTTATACTGGTTTATACTGGTTTATACTGGTCCGTACTGGTCCATACTGGTCTGTACTGGTTTATACTGGTTTGTACTGGTCCATACTGGTCACCCCTCCCAAACTCCATCACCCCGGGAGCCATTTTGGTCCCATTTTTGGAGGTTTTGGTGCCCAAAACTGGAGTTATACTGGTTTATACTGGTCCAGACTGGTCCATACTGGTTTATACTGGTCCATACTGGTTTATACTGGTTTATACTGGTTTATACTGGTCAGCCAGTGAACCTCCATCACCCAGGGACCCATTTTGGTCTCATTTGAGGAGGTTGTGGTGCCCAAAACCAGCATTATACTGGTTTATACTGGCTTTTACTGGTCTATACTGGTCCATACTGGTCCATACTGGTCCATACTGGTTTATACTGGTCCATACTGGTCATGCAGTGAACCTCCATCACCCAGGGATCCATTCTGGGGACATTTTGGTGCCCAAAATTGGCATTATACCAGTTTATACTGGTTTATATTCGTTTATACTGGTTTATACTGGTCCGTACTGGTTTGTACTGGTCCATACTGGTCTGTACTGGTTCATACTGGTCCGTACTGGTCAGCCAGTGAATCTCCCATCACCCAGGGATCCATTTTGGGGACATTTGAGGACATTTTGGTGCCCAAAATTGACATTATATTGGTTTATATGGGTCCAAACTGGTTTATACTGGTCCATACTGGTTTATACTGGTTCATACTGGTCCGTACTGGTTTCAGGCTACGCCCGGATCCTGCTGGCCGCCGTCTCCTTCTGGCTGATGCCGACGCAGCCGGGCCCCGCCGCCGCCTGCTACGGCCTGGCCGGGCTGCTGGACGCCGTGGACGGACATGCGGCCCGCAGACTGGGACAGGGTACTGGTTATACTGGTTTATACTGGTCTGTACTGGTTTGGGCTGGTTTGGGCTGGATTATAGCCATTTGTACTGGTTATACTGGGTTATACTGGGTTATACTGGGTTATACTGGGTTATACTGGGAGCAGGGCCTGGCCGGACTGCTGGACGCCGTGGACGGACACGCGGCCCGCAAACTGGGACAGGGTACTGGTTATACTGGTTTATACTGGTCTGTACTGGTTTGGGCTGGTTTTGACTGGTTTGGACTGGGCGGGATTGATTTATAGTGATTTGTACTGGTTTGTGCTGGTCCATACTGGTCCATACTGGTCCATACTGGTCCGTACTGGTCCGTACTGGTCCGTACTGGCCCATACTGGTCCGTACTGGTCCATACTGGTCCATACTGGTCCATACTGGTCCATACTGGTCCATACTGGTCCATACTGGT